GGGACCACCAAGGGATGAGTGGGGATAGGGAAGAGAGAGTCCAGGGACTGGATCCTGGGGCACAGAACCCAAGAGTTGGGGACAATACCAGTTAGGAAGCCTATCAGCCAAAGAGTAGAACATGTAGTTGAGGATGTGGAGAAACTGAAATCAGAACCCTTGTGCACTGCTGGTAGGATTGTAAAGTGAAGCAGCCGCAGTGGAAAACAGGATGGCAGTTTCTCAAGAAACTAAATATATAATTACCATACGATTCAGCAACTTCTCTTCTGGGTATATACTCAAAAGAATCGAAAGCAAGCACGCAAACAGATATTCATACACCCATGTTCACAGCAGCACTATTTACAATAGTCAGAAGGATTTGAAAGCAACCTGAGCATCTACTGATGGATGAATGGATAAACAGAACAAAGTCTACACACACAATAGAATATTATTCAGCTTTAAAGAGGAAAGAAATGTGGACACGTGTGACAACGCGGATGAACATTGAGGACATTATGCTGAGTGGAATTAGCCAGTCACAAATGGACAAATACTGTCTGAGTCCACTTACGTGAGGTCCCTGGAGTAGTCACATTCACAGAGCCAGAAAGTAGAACGGGAGCTGGCGGGGGCTGGGGAGGGGGAATGTGCAGTTGTATTAAATGTGTACAGAGATTCAGTTTGGGAAGAGAAGAAAGTTCTGAGACAGGTGGTGGTGACAACTGCACAACAGTGTGAATGTACTTAATGCCACTGAACTTATTCTTAAAATATGGTTAAAATGGTAAATTTTATGTTGTGCATATTTTACCACAATTTTAAAAGCTGAAAAGAGAAAGGAGAGACATTAAAAAAAAAAAAAGAGTGGGAAGAGTTGGGGACAAGGGACCATTAGCAGGCACTGAGAAGAGGAACCAGCAAATGCCCCTTTGGCTTAAGCCACACTGGTGTCCACTGGTCTGCGATCCTCGTCCAGTTCAGCTTCGTGGTGTGGTGCACGCTGGACGTTTCCTTCCTGTCGTTCCGAGGATGTATCATGTACTCCTAGTCACTATCTTTCCTTAGGTTGTCCCCTCAACCATTTGGGCCTCGGTCACTGTCCTCTGAACCCTCCACTTCCTCTGCAGTCAACTAGACATTCCTCATTTGCCCCACTGGTCATTCCAACACTTGCAGACAAATGACTCTAAGATTCATCCTCTTGTGCCACCCTAATAAATCCAGGTGTGTCATCTCCTCTGTGCCAGCCAACTGACAGATGATTTCTTTCACGATGAATGTGGCATGAAGAAATGATGGACGTGGACAACGAATAGGGAAGCGACTTCTTCTTGCTCCTCTCCAGCCTGCTTTCGACATTACCATGGCCCGTGGGTGCTCACCCCATAGAAGAAAGGGTGGAAGGTCATGGGAGAAGAGAACCACGTGCCGGCGGGTGGATGTGGGGTTCTCTCTTGGAAATAATAAGAAGCACAGTGAGAGTTTCTTACATGGTTTATTCTCTACACATTTCAACATCTGAGTGGCAGCTCTTATGTTAAGACTGCAGGTGCAAGGAAAATGAATGGCTGCCCTAGTTATCTTCAGGGAGTGTCAATGAATATATTTGCAGCATCTCTAGACCTATGGGGACACTTGTAAACAATAGTCCAAGAGCTGAGGTCTGACACAGGGTGGAGGTGTGAGTTCACGTAGTCAACACATTGGCTAAATGATCCTTAATGCCTTTAAAAATCAGCATGTGATGGCTGGTTTTATGTGTTAACTTGGCTGGGCTATGGGTGCCCAGATATTTGGTCAGACATTACTCCAGATGTGTCTGTGAGGGTGTTTCTGGATGAGATGAACATTTGAATTGGTAGATTGAGTCAAGCAGACTGCCCTCCCCAGTGTGGGTGGGCTCATCCAATCCACTGAAGGCCTGAATATGAAAAAAAAGAAGGCTGAGCAGGAAAGGGTTCTTTCTCTCTGCCCGACAGTCTTTGAGGGGAGCTGTCAGTCTTCTCCTGCCTTCAGACTTGGACTCAGATGAGAGCTACACTGTCAGCTTCTCTGAGGCCCATGGACTCAGGCTGGAATTTACACCAGCAGCTCTCCCAGGTCTCCAGCTGTCTGCTGCAGATCTGAGGACTTCTCAGTCTCTAATCACATGAGCTAATTCCTAATAATAAGACACATATCTTATGTTTTTTATATATGTGTGTGTGTGTGTGTGTGTGTATATATGCATGCACACACATACACACATGGTGTTATTGTCATTAGCATTAATTCTCCAGTTACCATAATGTAAAAGTGTGTGGCGCCCTCAGTGACTGTGCCCTGGCACATTTTAAAGTGAGGAGCTGCTTGCACCAACTTCACTCTCAGCACTTTGCAAAGCATGTTCACTGCCCGGGGACTTTCATCCACATGGTCAAGGTGGTGTCAAGCTGGCAAAGCAAAATCATTGCTATTTGACTTTCAACTGTGAAATTTTGCAGTAATATTATGAGTTGCTCCCCTTAACAAGTGTCTGGCTTACAAACTCCTGGGAAGGT